AAAATGTTTATTTATGAATTAGTCGATAGGTTTAATAGATGACAAAATTTACCTTATGAAAAACTCGGACTTGTGTTTGGCTTTTCAAAATTTGTTGGGTAACAAAAACATCCCCGGAACTTAAGTGTTTTGGAAATGCAAAAACTTGCCGTAACTCATTCGTAAAGTTGCCATCATTTGTAATAAATTCCTAGTGCTTCAATCCTGTCCGAGGAAAAGGGGAAAATGGGAAAGATTTGAAGCAAGGTGGTGGAACATGGATTGATCATGGATTAAATCCTCATTCCAAATGCAGCCATGTCGGCCATAAAGAGCGAGTAAGAAAAGTACAAGTAGATGACAGGATCTAGTCCAAATCATGATATTAAATGGCGAGATTTATTAAAGTTGTAATGGTGATACTGCACAAGCTTTCTTTTTTCTTTCTTTTTTCTTTGCAAAATATTAATTTAATATTTTGCAAGAGAAAGGCTTGCATTTACAGTATTATTGAAGAGTTTTTCACACAATGAACCACACACTTGAGGAATTGCAAGCGAAGCAATTAGGGTCCGTAACTCACAAAGTTTTCAATTTATGATTATTTCTCTAGTTACTATTGTAGTATTATTATTGTTATTGTTATCTTTTTGTTTCTCAAGAACATTTTTGCTCAGACCGAGACCTTGATCCTCTTGATTCGTGTCACATTGCTATTATCATTTGTAGACTAGAGCTGATCTTTTTGTTTTTTTTTTCCACTGTGATATAGGCTTGAGAAAAGGGTGAACAAGAAAGTTATGACAATGTTTGAAAAAGCGGAAGACGAGTACAATGATTTGATGTCAAAGAAAAGCGACATTGAGGTTATTTACCCCGAATATACAAACATTATTGTACTTTTGCTTTTCTATACTTGTGCTAATTTTGTGTTTACCGAATGATAAGTCTAAAATCAAGAAGGTGATTAAAGAGCTAGACGAGAAGAAGAAGGAGACTCAAAGTTACATGGGTTAAAGTAAACAAGTGACTTTATTTTCTCAATGTAAAATTTCTTGCTTCCATTTGGTGTTTTAATTTTATACCAGCATTTATTGTTTTCATTTTTTGTGATGGATGTTCGATTTTGGATTTTACGAAATATGGCCATACACATGCTTAAAATTTTTTAATATTTTTCGGTGACTTTGGATCTATCTTTTCCACCCTATTGCGGGGCACCATGGCAAAGCTAGAACCTTCGATGGTTGCGGTTTCCTAGATGGTCTTGAGGTTTGTGTTGCATTTGGAAGTGTCCGGAAATAGTCGTTATCGAACTAAGTGGTGGCCAACGTTCTCTGCTTGCTCTCTCTAATCTTGGCATTGCTACTCTTCAAGCTAGCTCCACTTTATATTCTAGATGAGGTATACTTCATTAAAATATTGCATTATTTTATTGGCTCTTGGAGAATTTCCCTTACTTTTTTACCCTTTTAGAATGATTACAACTTTTAACGTTTTCTTTGGACTTGTGAGTCATAAATAATCTGTGCAAATTTTCTTCTACTTCCATTTTTGTTATGATTCACCATGGCTCTATGTGGTAATAAACCGAGAAAAGCACTAAACTTCTTTCCCACTAGCAATGCCAAATATATAGGAGTATTATTTAATTCTTTCTCTTTCATATTTGTTTTCCTACTTGACCAAGCTAGCACGCGAGTCTATTTAAGTCCCATCCATTTTTTGCGAGCTCTCTACTCGATCAACCTCTTTTCTCTCCTTACCCTCTAATCTCTTCCTCCCATTTAAGAGAGCGAAGCTTAACAATATATATTACGGATGGAGAGCCAAAATAAGACTAATCTTCCCGTAAGTCGCGTAAATTAGAATTGAATTGGTTTACTTACTTTGCAAGTCATTATGAGGACATTGGTTGTATTACTCAATTGGTCTCCCTAATTAATAAAGAAAAGCTATCCCCAAACCTTTGTGGTATTAGGTGAGAAGCCATAAATTGGCTTGAAAGTCATAGTAGTTACTCTAAGACCTAGCCGTAGGATTTTGGATTGGCCCTTTTGATCCATGCCATTAGGTACTAGATCGGTATCATTTCGATCAGCATAAATAGTTTTTTTACACATAAGTTATGTAATGAAGAGATCTTGTATTTTTTTTAATAGTAAATGCAACATTAATTGATGTGATCTGCTTTCATTGCGAGAGATATATTGATCGAATTTGATGCTTATTTTGTTGAATCCTACTTAGGTATCATATATTTTTAATTAAATATTTAACATGTTTCTTGATCTTAAAATATTTTTTACGAGTTTTTATATGTATTTATATTTTTTTCACTTTCAAATTGTGTTTTTGATAGGTTCGCAATGATGATAATGGTCAAAATGCTCTTTCGTCGCTAATCGTTTATCATAATCAAGTCATCTCGCCGAAATGAAACATTTTCTATAAAAACATGAGATTTGGTTTTTTGTAAGCATTAGCCACTTATTTTAAAATATATTGGGAATTTTTTTTATTTATTTCGAATAAGTGTTTAATCCTTTGGTGTTTTTTTTTTACTTGTGGATGTTTGAAGACTTTTTATATATTTAGAATTTGATAATTACAAATTTAAGAATATTGTATAACTTGTATAATTTTTATTTTATTTGCATTCCATAAGATTAACTTTTTTTTTTAAATTTATTTGTTTTTTGACAAAGAAAAAGAAAATAATTGAATTTGGAGGCGAAATAAAACTATAATGCTAAAAGGCGAGTTAAGCCTTTATAAATTCTAAAATTTGAGGCGGTTACAACCGCCACTATAAATTCCACAACAACCGCCCCTATAAATTTTTAGCCTAGTGACGGTTGCAACCGCCTCAAATATTTCGTGTAAAATTTAAAAAACTAATACGGGAGACATAGAGGCGGTTCTAAACCGTCTAAAAAATTAGGTGCTAAAAAATCATAAAAGATAAAATTGACATCGTAGAGGCGGTCCGAACCGCCTAAAAAAAAAAAATTGAGGCGGTTCAAACCGCCTCAACCAACCGCCTCGAATTCCCCGACGATTGGCAAAACCGCCTCTAAACCGTAGAGATGGCGGCATTGCGAGTGGTTTTGAGGCGGTCCGAAAACCGTCCCTATAAATTTTTAGAGGCGGTTATAATCGCCTTTAGAAGGCAAAAAAACCGCCTACAATACCTTTTTTTTGGTGTAGTGGACCCTTTAAAGCATTGATCAAAAAGTAAATAGCGCTCATCCAACTTTTCAGCTTAGATAATCCCTAAAGAAAATTGAAAGTAAAAAATTAATGCTTTATTAAATTAGATTAGGTTTCGATTCGAATTAAAGTTAGTATTTGTACTTGATTAGCACGTGAAAAATTTATGCGAGAATCACTTATGCTAGATCATTTAGTGTCACATACTAATCACCTAACAAATACTAACTCCAATATAGATAAAAAAAATTAATATAATGTAACAAAAAAATTAATTTTTTTCCGTTAGTTTTCCTCTAAGGGAGCGTTTGATAACCTATTTAAGTAGTTTAAAAAATTAAGTTGTAGTACTTAGTATAAAAATTTTGTTTGATAACCTAAATAATTTCATATTAAAAATTTAAGTTTAGTCAAAATCTACTTAATCGGATAAATTAAAGTTTTTAACTCATTACTTTTTTATTAACACGCTCGGTTGATAGATTTTAATTTTTTTTTCAAATATGACTATATCCTCCTCATATATTTTTATGATCGTAGCTATACAAACTAACTGAAAAATAATCTCTATCATCCCTATTACTAAAACAGAGGGAACCTTCTTCATTATCGATGCTTCTACCTCAAAATTTGAAACACTAAAGCCTAATCCTATTGCAGGAAACGATCGTCTCTCTCTTAGTCGATTCTCAACATATCTGCCAAAAAAATACTGTTCAAGAGGTACGTGGAGATTGGGAAGTGGCTTTTGTTAATGGATCTAAAAATCACTAATTCAAGCCATGAAGAAGTCTGATGTGAAGAACAAGTGGAATAACAGTTCATGGGGCTGGAGGCTCATTGTTCAGAAAGAAGGGCAGCTCTTAATGATTTTGATAGGTTAAAGCTCATGTTGGCAAAGATCAAAAAGACTGGAATTGTTAGGCAGGAGCTTGCAAAACTCAAAAATACAGCCTAAGATTTGTTTACTTCCAAGCTTTTCATTATCTTACAAGTTTCAAACTTTGTTTCAGTTTTTTTTTTTTTTTTTTTTTCCTAGTTAGTGGTGGAGACCAATTATTATGGTTCTTGTTATGTGGAAACATTAATGATATTTCTAGACTCGCTCTTTTACAGTCCAAATAATAATAATAATAATAATAATAATAATAATAATAATAAATCTTATTGCAAGTAATTTTCCTTCCATTTCTATTTTGGGAAGAAAATTAGATCATATTTAATTTTTTATTAATAATTATTTTTATTAAATTTTTATTTATTTATTAGTACACATATATATTAAAAAATATCATGTTACAATTAAAAGGTTAAAATTGTCATGTATATATCATTAATATATTTAACAACAATATTTATCAAACAAATTTATTATATTCAATACTTAATTTTCAATAAATATCAACCAATTTGTTAAAAATATATTCAGTATTTAAAAATATATTCAGTATTTAGTACTTAAAATTCTGCATTTAACAGATTTAATACTTAATTTTTATTTTTATCAAACACTCCCGAGACTATTGACACTAAATAAATTGAATAAAAATCATTTGCACATGATGAATAAATTTTTCTAGACCAGCTCGAAGATACCTCACCAACTGTAAATAATAATAATAATAATAAAAATAATAAATTATAGACTTGAGTACAGTGGGAAATTAACGAATAGAATGAGAGGCAGCCCAATAACAAATATAGCACACCTCCAACTTAATTATAAAGCAAGTACGTGGTAATTAATTAATAATACAACCCACAACATAGTACAGTATATGTCCACACATTAATATGTGCTTCATCTCTTAAGCATAGAGATCATGACTCTCTAGGGACAGCAAACCCTCCTTGATAGTCTCGGCAGTTGCGATCTCTGCAATCTCTACTTTTCACTTTTTACTGAGAAACCAAAGTTGAATTGTGATTGGAGATTGCAGAGAATCTAGCAAGGGTTAATTACAAACAAACTAACTACCCCACAAGATCCTCACCGTCCATTTGTCCATTCATTTTCATGCATGCAGAAGAGAGAGAGAGAGAGAGAGAGGGAGAAATTTGTTAGGTGCATATTCCATTGATCACTTTACTGTTTGTGTTTGAGTAATGGCTGTAGATGCCGAAACATTATTAACAGCAGCAGCTGGACAATTTGGATGCGGATTTCTCTGCGATTTTCCTGCCCTTTTGTTCTCTGACTTGGCTCCTGCTGGTTGCCGTACCTTCACTCCTCGGATCAACTACGATATGTTTTGAATTAGTATATGTCTATTTCATCAGTCTATCTAGTTAATCAAACTTTTAAAAACTAAATAAAAAAATTAAGAGTAGATCGGATAATTATTACTATTAAAACTAGGTGCTTACATATTTGCCACATTTCACATCCGAGTAGATGACTATGAAATCTCCTTCTTGGAGTCCATTCGTTCTTACAAAATCTCCTGAAAACAACAAATATAAAATGGAAGGAAAAAAAAAAAACAATGTTGATTCCTAAATCAAATGAATTGCACTGAAATACCCACCTGTGTTTTCGAGGAGATACATCCTGCTTTTGTTGTTGGGCCAGAATCTGAAACTCCACAAAAAGAAAAAAGAAGGGTGGAGATAATTTAATTTCCAAGTATAAATGAGAAACAAAGAGAAAATTAAATGTGAATAGACACAAGAGAATTGAGTAATTAAATTAAATTCTAGAATACCTATAACGCATGTTCCAAACACGAGAAGTCCCTATATCTTCCATGGCGATAGAAATGCCATCCCTTGCCTCTAGCTCCGGGAGATGAGTTTCTGCTTCTTTCTGCATTAAAAGAATATTAATTCCCAAAATAAATTCAAGAAAGGAAAAACTTATAATTAGCAAGAAATTAATTAAATTTACATCTGTGTATTGATGCTATTATTACGAAAGTGTTCATAGAAGATAAAGAGTGTACCTTTGGCAACACTATCCTCCCAAGACTACCCACATCACTCTGCTTCAACACTTTTTGAAGAAGAAACCTCAAGTTCTTTTCAGGTTTCCATCCCTGCTAGACAAATAAACACAGACATGCACATAAGATAGCATACACTATAATCATGACAATTAAAACAACAAATTGACCCACAAATATACAACACAACAGCTCGTTTGATCAATCAGGGAAAAAAAAATCAGACAACCAAAAAAAAAAAAAAAAAGAAAAAAAAAGAAAGAAAGAAAGAAAGAAAGAAGACAATAATCCGAACATTGCCAATCAAACCAACTGCCAACCTGTCGTCTATCGGCTGCCACCTGCCGTTGGCAATTCTGTGTTTGCATGGCCGGTCGATCCACCGGGGCATCCAAAGGTACGCCAGTGGCGGTGGAAGCAGAACCTCCACCAGGACCTGTTGGCCAATAAACCCAATTTCCTGGATTGGCTTGACCTGTTGGGCTACCATTGTGATCATTTCCAAGCCTTGCATGCGGATCAACAGCGCTCTGATTTTGGTGCTGGATATTGTGATGATTGTGATTCCTGTGGTGAGACGAAAACCTTCTCTGTCTAGCCATTCTCTTCTTCCGTGCCTCTTTTGTAGCTGAGGAACCTAACCTCGCCACCCTATTATCACCGTGACCGGGAATATAATGATATGGATACTGGTTACCATACCCGGTAAAAGGAGGATTCTGGGGCTGAGCTGACTGGAGATTATTGTCTGCAAATGAGTTGAAATGTGAAGGCAAAGCAAATTGTGAGGGAGGCCATGATTGAGTGGACTCAAGCATATGATTGTAATCCTGTGCTGGAGTCGCGTAAGGGTGACCAGTTATATTAGAAACTCCGTTTGAAAACGGGTCACCCATATATCCAACCATGGGTGTAAAACTCGGGATGACTGTTACCGGATCTGCAGCAAGATATGGTGGGGTGGCAACGTTCCAAGGTGACTGGGTGAAGCAAGGGTTTGAATGATCAGCTGGGATAGAATTGCAGTTGAGGTTCGGGTTAGGGTTAGGGTTTTGGTTTTGAAGAGGGTCTTGATTATATGGGTAGTGAAGATTAACATTGCAGGATGATTCTCTCATGCGCCTTCTTTGTAGATGATTCGTTTGGACCCATTGGAGAATGAGCTTCAAGAGTTGTTTCATGCCTTCTTTACCACCACCTAAACGCTTAGCAGCACACTCTATAGTGGCCTTCTTGAGTTTGACTCTCCTCAAATCATCAGCTGAAACAGTCTCTTTGTTGCTCTTGAGCCAGTCTAAAAACACCACAGCCAGATCATCTGATCTTTCTCCTTGTTGGTTGATATGTTGATCATTCTTGTTTTGTGTCATATCTTCAATTCCAGTTTGTTGATCATATTGAGGCTGTTGCTCTTGTTGTTTTTGCTCTATTTGAAACTCCTCTAGGAGGCTTTCATCAGGAGGAAATATAGATGAAGGATCAAAGAAATCATTACCCTCAAGCAGATCCATGTATCCGAAATTCTCCATTTCGTCCATGCATTCAACTCCTTCCATCGCCGCTTGATCAGGAGGCTGAGGGACCTCCATTGAGCAAGTAGAAGACAAGGCAGCTGTAGAAATATCCACGGGATCATTTTGACTATTAAAATCATCATTATTGTTATTATGATGATGATAACGATGATCCTGTTGATGATTCTTTTCTACATCTTCTTCTGTCTCTGACTTCAAAACAGCCCAAGAAGCGGCTGAAGAAGAGGAAGACGCTGAGGAAGAAGATGAGGAAGTTATGGCCTTGACAGGAGCCGGAGTGGATGAAGAAGAGGAAGAAGAAGACATGCAAGGGAAATCCGGGAGGGGAGGGAAGTCATCATAGAAGATTGAAACATCATTCACATCTAACAGATCTTCTTGCCCTCTATCAAGCCAGATCTCCTTATCTTCAACAACCATACCTTGCTCTTCCTCCATAACACCAAACCCGGTTGTCGGGTATGCTTCATTTTCAACCTCTTCATGCCGATCTTCACCATGCACTTGCAAACCCTTCATCTCTTTTTTTTTTTTTGGAAAAAAAAAAAAAAAAGGCAAATAAGATACAAATAAAAAAGTTGCAACTTGAGGCCCTTTTGAGTTCTGTTGCTTGCAGGTAGATTTAGAGAGAGAATAAAAGGATATGGTAGGGTGCTGAATTAAGGATAGGGTTTTCTATGTACGGATAAGTGCAATGAAGAAGATTGTTTCTGATTAAGGAAGCAAAAGAGGGCAAGGGCCCGCTCCAAGCATCAAATCCTCAATTCAGAAACAACATACACTATCTGAATCTACCACTAACATAGATAACATAAATAATATCTTTAAACCATGCATCAGTGAAAGTGACCCCTTCTCTCTTCTTCTCTTCACTAATATGTTCTTTCTTAATATTTTAATTAATATATAGGATCATCAACTACCAACTAAACTATGAATTATCCAATCCAAAATTGATTAAGATCGAAATTAAAAACTCAAAAACATGAGCAGTCTAAGATGGATTGATCACAAAAATCTCTGGCAAGACAAGGCAACGCAAGGCAGTAGTTCTCCAGTATCTTAATAAAGGAGAAACATTTAGACCAAGTTTGGAGAATTCCCACATGCTTAAACGCTTTTGAAACTCAACCCCATGTGTGTTCTGGTCTGTTCCAGGAAGTTTCATACAAATGTCTAACCTTTGAAACCTTTTTCTTAGATAAGTTCAAAAAAGTTTTTTGGGAGTTTTTGCACTATTCAATTAATTCATTGGAGATCAGGAGAGAGAGAGAGAGAGATTGAGAGGGTGGTTTTAGAGAGATATAGAAACCACAAAACAAAACAAAACAAAACCTCGTGCGCCGCTACTTTCTCAGCCTGATTCCGGCTTTTGTGCCATCCGCCATACGTTCTCTTCTCACTGGTGCAAATAAGCGGTGCCTCAGCCTTTAAGTTTAGTGCCAGAGAGTGGACTTGAAGTACGGTTCCAATCTCAATAGTAACTTCCAATAACCCATCTTCAAATTACATAACGTACATTACGCACATATTAATATTAATTAGCTTAAGCTTATCTTTCCAATTTTACTTCGAAGCTTAGTTTTGGACTTGTTGAATGATATATGATTCAAGGAACTAAGCTTATTTATTATTTTTAATTTGAATATATATATATATATATATATATATATATATATATATATATATGGATTTGATTTCCAAAAATTTTATTTTGAACGTTTTTTTTCTTTTTTATTTATTAGAAGTTTATATACTATGGATTGTAGGTGATCCAACGAAAATAGCCTCCATTCATTTCATAATAATTAAATAAATTAAAATTATTAAAATTCAAATTTATTTTAGAGAAAAAAACTACGAGATACACAACTATACTATATTATATTATATATTCTTGTTAAATGCTCTTTGTTTTTTTTTTAAAAAAAATATAGAAAATCTTTTTTTTTTATATATACCATATATATATATATATATATATATATATATATATGTACTTGTTCAATGCCCTTTGTTTTTCACAAAAGTATATAAAATATTTTTTTCCCTATAGTATTCAACGTGGAGTATAGTATACTGTAAACTGTAGAGATGAATGCCAACCACCCCTTTACCAACTCCTTTCACACATGCAGGCTTTGTTTCAGTCTGATCATTAGCATTAAAGTAATTTTCAACTCTAAACTGCTTTTTTCTCTCATCATTTAAGTTCTCACAATTTCCTAGAGCAAGAAAAAATGGACTCACTCACTCACCACTTAATTTCTATTTGGTTTACCATACAATACAAGGATCTTGTCCGGATTCATTGGCTAAGCGGTGCGAGACAGGCAGACCCCTCATTTCACCATACCATTCAGCCGCTTTCTCTGTTATACGTATCCATGCAATGCCTGGGGTAACCTCCTCTCTCTCTTTCTCTCTCTCCTCTCTCCCCTTATTCTCTTCTTCATCTGGAGCCAATATAACCGCGCTCTTTCGTTTCGATTTCCCGTCTTGATCTGATGCCTACCCATGCCACGAGTGGGGTTACTTTCACATTACAAAAGAAGCAAGGTATCTCACAGACTTCTTGCTTCTTGCCACGCGTACTGTTTGTCATCCTGGAGACTCATGCCATTGGTGCCTTTTTAGGTTTTCAGAATTATTTAGTATAATAAAATTTGCCTTGTTATAAAATAAATAAAAATAATAGAAAAATTAAAGAAAATGATGATAAGAAAATGAAATCACCGTAATGTGAATATAAGTGATAAGAATTTCAAAGTTTTTTTAATTCTCTCTATGAAACTTGTACATTAACTAATGAACAATCAAGTTTATTTATAGGTTTCAAAATTGAAGAAAGAGTTGAAATGGATTATGAATAATCAATTGCACTACCTTTTCAATTTCTCATATTGAATGATGAATTGAATCATATTAAAAATCATGAGTAGTGGGAATATGAAAAGTGGATGAACATGATGATGGACATTCATTATTTTATAACACTCCCCCTTAAATGTCCATTGTACAAGGAACATGCCTCGTTAAAACCTTACTAAGAAAAAACCCAATGGAAAAAAAATCCTAGTGAAGGAAAAAGAGTACAATATTTCTTACACACATTAATCTCCATTTTTGTCTCCCTCTGTTGAAGGCATTATTTAAGATCTCTAAGATGACGCATTTTAATCTTGTGAATCTTCTCAAAAGTTGTGGTAGGTAATGTTTTAGCAAATAAATCTACTAAATTGTCACTTTGATGTATTCTTCCTTCAATAGAATTATGCAAGTAACATTATTCTCATATGATATTGTTGAAAATTCTTTTGTCGATAGATAAACCGCATATTTCTCGGATACGATGGATCGTTGATCTTAGCCAAACACGAGTCTCGACTTACCTCGTGAATTGATATTTCTACATGATTTGAATATGTGGTAGCTATAGTTTGCTTTATAGAACACTAAGATATAGCTGGATCTCCATATGTAAATATATAACTAGTTATGATCGAGCTTTGTGTAGATCGGATAAATAATTTATATCTACATAACCAATTAATTTTGTCTTTGATTTATTGGAGTAACATAAGCCCATATCAATTATTCCTCGAAGATAACATAGTATATATTTAACTTTATTTCAATGTCTCTTTATTGAAACAAAACTATGACTTGCTAACAAATTTATAGAAAAGACTATATCGAGTCGAGTATTATTAGCAAGATACATGAATTCACTAGTGACACTAAAATATGGTACTTCGGAACCAAGTAGTTCTTTGTTATCTTCTCGAGGTCGAAGATGGTCTTTTTGGATATCAAGTGAATGAACTACTATTGGGCTAATCAATGAATGATCTTTATATAGAATTATTGTAGAACCTTTTTCGATATAAATTGATTGATGAATGAAAATCTCATTTTCTAAGTACTCGAACCGCAAGTCGAGATAACATTTTGTTTTCCTAAGATATTTATATCAAATTCTCTTTTTAGGTAACTTATGACACTTGGAATATCTTCGGAAGTTCCAATAATATTTAAGTTATCAACATATACAACAAACCTCTTTTTAAATAAAAACATATGAACAAATAGGGTTATTTTTTATAACTTTCTTTCAACAAATAATCATTGAAGTGATTATATCACATGCACATGGGTTAGTAATAAACAGTAGGTATAAAAATAAAATAGAAAAAGTATAAATTGAATTTCTAAAAACCAAAATAGTAAAACAAATATTAAAATAATCCTAATAGAGATCTATATTATTTAATTGAATTCTTATCTCAAGAATATATATTACATGCTTCGGCATGTTAAATCCTTCTAGGACTTTCATACTGATTCATCTCAAATGAAAAAATAAATTATGATCACATTCATTAAATATATGCAAATGAATGTTTTTCACATATTTTACCAAGCTAATGAGATAATAAAATATAATTGCATCCATAATAGGAGAATATGTCTTCTCATAGTCAATGTCGATTATTTGCAAAAACTCTTGTGTTGAAAGTTTTGTTTTGTATCTTACAATCTCATTTTTCTTATTTTGTGTTTACATAAATACTTATTTGTATCCCACCAACTTAACATCTTCGGGTGTTTTAGCTATGGGTTCAAAAAACTACTCTTTTGTAGGAGAACATAATTCTGCTTGGATTGCTCTTTTCATTAAGGTCAATCAACTTTATATCAACATTCTTTAATAATTTAGGCTAAGGATTCTTATTTTAATTCAAAATATCAATTATAACTTTACATACAAAAATCTTATCAATAAATATTTCTCTTCGGTTTTATTTTCTCCTTGTATTGACATAATTTATCAAAATCTTTTGATTTTTCTTAAGCATTTGGACTTCTTCGGAAGCCTATTATCGAAATATCTTGAATTGTTTTATAAATATTTACATCCTTTATATTTTCATCTTGTCCTTTTCTTTTAGGAATTTTTATCTTTAGAACCGATTGATCTTCCATGCTTCGGGCGTGCTTTAAATTTATTAGCTATAATATTAATAGACTATCCTTCTAGGACATTAATTCTAATAGAAACATTCTCAACGAAGACATGTATTTTATTTATTCTTTTAAGATATGAGAATACATCTAGCGGTTGGTTTATAATACATTGTAAATGAATTATCTTGTGAACTTCTAGTTCACATTGTTTTGTACCAAATTGATATAAAGATAGATTATTCCATGTAATCTCTTTTCTCAATATTTTCAACTGCTTATTTTGCTTATTCTCTCCTCCAAATGTTGGAAAAATTATTTCATCAAAATGACAGTCGATAAATCAAGCTATAAAAATATCATTTATTCATGATTTAAGATATTTAATTATAAAAAAGGATTCAAATCCAATATATATTCTCAATCTTTTTTAAATGCCCATTTTATTTCCTTATGAAGGAGCACTACGGATATACACTTGCAATGTCAAGAAAATTCTTAAATAAGAAATATTTGACTCATGACCATAAATCAACCGAAGATGAGAGAATTTCGATAACTTATGAGTGATATGCAAATAAGTGTTGCTTGCATGTAAGATTGCATGTACCCAAATATAAACAGGGAGTTTTATTTTTAAATAATGGTTTAGCTATCAACTAGAGCCTTTTGATAAATGATTTTGCTAAACCCTTTTGAGTATAAACATGAGCAACAGGATGTTCAACCTTTATTTTAATAACCAATCAATAATAATTTAATGCTTGAGAAATAAATTCATCAGCATTATCAAGGTGACTTGTTTTAATGGCATAATTTGAAAATTATGCTCGAAATTAAATTATTTACTATCAATTTTGAAAACGTTAAGCTTCGAGTAATAAACATATATGTGATCATCTTGTGGATGCATTTATCAAAATTATAAAATATTTAAATGGTTCATGTGGTGGATGAATTGATTCACATATATCACCTTGAATTCATTCTAAAATACTGAAAATTCAATCTCAATTTTACTTGATGATGGCTTAATCATCAATTTGCCTTGCAAAATGCAGAACATGAAAGTTCATTAAATTGAAGAATCTTCTGGCTCTTCAATAGATATTCATATAAATTTTTTAATAATTTTTTCGCATCATGAAAGACCCAAGATAACACAACTGGTCATGTCACATAGTAAAAGTATTTGAATTAGTAAACTGTCTGGTTTACTACAATATTTGTTTCAATAATTTCAATGTTTATAATAAAGACTAGAAGAAAAAACGGATAAATTTTTTGATAGATATTTTCTACCCAATATAATGATTATAACATATAAGTATTCACATTTGCTATCTTGATATGATATCAATTCGGATAAATATCTTTGAAACTCAAAAAATTTCTATGAGACTTTGAAGAGAATAGTACATCATTCATAATAAATTTATCCTTTCGGATAATAACATATTTGCTCTTCTAGAGCCTTTAAATTAGTCACTTTAAGTAATAATATATTGACTCTTCTAGAGACTTTAAACATTTTCTCTTCAAGTAATAATTTATTCACTCTTCTAGAGCTTCAAAAATTTATCTCTTCAAGTCATGATATAATCGTTCTTCTAGAGCCTTCAAAATCTATCTATTTAGATAATAATATAGTCGCTCTTCTAGAGCCTTCAAAATCTATTTATTTAGATAATAATATAATCGTTCTTTTAGAGGTTTCTATTAGATTGATATTATTATATATAATATTAACATAAAATAAATAATCAAATAAATCAATACAAAATAAATAAATTAATATATTCCTCATAAACACAAACAAATAAATAAATAGTAAAATAAATTTGTAACCATCAATATACGACATAAATTATAAGAAATATAAAGCATTTTATTCATAAATAGAAAAACTAACAAGTAATTAATTTCAATTACTATTACTTTGATATATAAAAATGGCCTTCATATTTTACTCTTTATTTTTCAATAAGGCTTGACAAGCCTCAACAAAGTGCTTTGGTATACAATAGGTATACGATTAATAGTTATTCATTCCACATCTATAATATTTATTTTTCAGAATACTTACTTTATCTATTTTTATTTATTTTTTCATAGTTATCCACTTTTGGTGGTGAGATGTAATATTATGGTCATTACAATTATAATGATAATTATTTTGACCATATCCATGGCTATGACCATATCTTCATCCATGTCTAAAATTATTATAAATTATAACATTCACTTTAGGGAATGGAGTAGATTCAATTGGATGAGATTTATTCTTTTTCATTTTATTTAGCAACTAACAAGTATAAAATTGATCAAAATATTTCTTAAACTCTTTTTCTCGATATGCTACTATAGGAGCATATCCAAGACATAAAAAGTAGATAATATTTTTTCAAAATCAAGCACTCATAATCAATAATTCTTATTCAAAATATTAAGAGTCACCAAATCAAGTTTATGAGGTTTGATATGATAAAAATTCTATAATACAATATATAATAATAATATTAGAAAATAAGAACAAATATAATAATAAAATTAAAGCTTTTCAAATAACATATATTAGATCATTAGTAGATCATTTAAGTTTTTCAAATATATATTTCATGTATCAATAGATTTAAAGTA